CCTGCAACTTTAAGTCCATCACACAGCATGCAAGTATGATCTCTTTATTGTAGAATTATGAGTGGTGCAGAACCCTTATCTAACACTAGAAGAAAATTCATAAATCATACTTCACGTAAAACAGCCAAACAAGGTTGAGCCTAGTAGTAGGATGCATAAACATGCCCTAATATAGTAAAGAGATTTTGCATATATATTCAGCATATTTGAGTACTTTACTGAGTTAATACCAAGCCAATCCATATCCCTATTAGGAGACAAGAAACGAACCACAATTAAAGAACAGAGGGAAAAAGAATCTATAATTCAGATAAAACTACTTTTCTCCAGGTGGCATTACAATTTTTTAGAATTTGAATTATGTGGCTGGTAGTCTTTAGCCTACGTATAAATAGGGCTTTTATCTTGTACAGTTTTACACATAAACATATATACAGTTTTACAGTTCCAACACTTAATACAATTGTTGCATTGTATCTTTTTGATTGATATCTTTACAACTCTATCTATACATACCAACATTTTACAATAAGAAGGCTGCACCCACTGATCCTTGTCGTCAAAAAATTAACTAAAGAGGGAAATGAGTCTATGACAAGGCAAGCTACATGCCTATTATAAAGAAAACTTTCAGTGGACAACTACAATAGCTTCTAGCTCTAATAGACAAAAAGGTGGTATAATTGAATGTCTAATAAACCAAACAAAGTGCAGGTATTAAGACTGGGGAAAAAAACATTTAATGCATTTCCTATCTGAGGATGATTAAGAGCTACATGCATCAGAATTTATGCCAAGAAAAAATTTATTGCCACAAAAGTAAATTCTAAAGCTCTGTGTTCACCAGCTAAATGCTTTTTTGTGAATTAATTACTTTACTCATGAACTTAAGTATAAAAGAGGATAGAAAAAATAGAAAACACTTACAGTAGAAATCTTAGCAGATGATTGTTCCTCTGTCCTAGAAGCTGCATCCTTTGATGATAACAGCTCCTTCAATTATGTAATGAAGATACAAAAATTATTAGGAAACAAATGGATCAACCAGGAAAATAAATAACATAATGGAAACTAACAGACAAACCTGCTCCAAGGATGCCAACTTCAAATCCAGCTCCCTTACTCTGTCCTTGTACCATGTCAAAGAGCTAGAACTTTCACTGAACTTCCTCTCTACCTAAATTTGTCAATACATTCATATCAGTGATGTTGTGTGGGTGAACCAAAGAATAAATAGTAGGCATGACATGCTCTTCAATACCAACTTACATCAGAAAGTTTAACAGACATGTATGCCTCAAGTTTGGAATGAGTTTTACGAAGGTTTATGAGATCATTGACTTTGGTAGTTAACTCGTCATTAAGCCATGTGTGATGCCTCTCAATTAGCTCCTTCTCCTGCTTGGGTAACATGAGATATATAATGTCCCAAAATGTAATACATAGGATCTTTATTTATTGCATTAAGCAGGTTCAGACAAATCCAGTAGTCATAGCAATTAGCCATCACATATGCATTATTTTGGTAGTAAAGTATCAACTACAAGATGTGAAAAGATAAGTATTATCTGTAAAAATGTAAAATATATGATTCCCATTACCCAAAATAAAGTAGAAAAGACTCCTACATTGAATCACTATGCTGCAAAAAGTAAATATCAACTAAGCTCTTTTTTAACCTGTTGCCTCATCATATTATAGCCTCATCAGTAACATTTTTCATGAAAAGCATGTGTTTTATTGTCCTATCAATAAAGGGAATAAGCAAAAATAACACATTGCTTAAAGCCTTAGTCAATTGCAAACTAGATTGATACAGTTGAGTAATAAGCAAAAAAATAAAAATAAATAAATAAATAAAAACATAGTTGAGTAATACAGTCCAACACAAATCAATTGCAAATCATATTTCACAAATTACGGTCTAGCACACATTATGAATTTCATTGCAGGAGGCGTTACCTTGGTTCACATGTGAGGCTAAGGCAGAGAACAGGCAGCAGTTTCGTCGTCGACAGGGGCGGAGGCGGAGACCGGGCAGTAGCTTCCTCGTCGGCAGGGGCTGAGGCGGAGACTAGGCCGCAGCTTGGGCGAAGGCGGAGACCGGAGAGGAGATGCGGAGTCCTCCGGTGTCGTCGACAGCAGCTTTGTGGTCGGGACTCGGCAAGGGCGGAGGCGGAGTCTTGCTGTCAGCTGAGTTAGGGCTTGGGGAGTTGGGGGAACTAGGGAAGCGATAGAAGGGTAGACGATTAGGAAATTGGGGTACACCTCTAAGTTCTACTTTGTTTTTCTTTTGGCCAGCGAGAGGCGCCATTTTTTCGGCCAATTGGGCAATTGGAGGTGGCGATGGCGGTCTGGAGGCGGCGTTTGGAGAAGAGAACTACGGAGTAATGTTTTAGGGATTTAGGAGAGAAGAGAGAAAGATGTGTGGGTTGTAAAAATTTGGTGGGAATTAGATTTTAGGTTTTGGTGGGAATTAGATTTTAATGAAATAATTTTCACACACCAATATTGAGAGTAATAACATCTTTCTTATCAATAGTGAGAGTATATATTTTTAAAATAAGTATTAAATTAAAATTTCAACACTAAATTATAAATCTTTAGCTAGAGTAATTTTTAACTTTCATAAAAATTATGCAAATAATACATTTAGTGAGGGAGTTTTTCATCTGTCACTAATTTTCTGTCACTAAAAACTGTTTTTCTTGTAGTGATAACATATATATCTAATATAATAAGGAAAATAACGAAATTTTATTTTTATTTTATAATAAGCCTTCATATTTTTTCCAAATTAAATAAGTATATTCATGGTTTTATAGGGACCGGGTCCACCATAAACCGGGTATATAGGTATAGAACGGGACTAAGAAAATAGTAGCTTTATTACCCGGGTCGCTAGACCCAAAATAGTACCGGGTATATAGGTACAGAACGCGAGATTCATAGATTTTTATACTGTAGATTCATAAATTCTATACTGTAGATTTATAAAATCTTTACTCTAGATTCATAATTTCTAAATCGTAGATTCATAATTTAAATACAATAGATTCATAATTTCTATACAGTAGATTCATAATTTCTACACTGCAGATTCATAATTTCTGTATTGTTGATTCATAATTTCTAAATTGTATAGTTATCAAATTATGAACATATAGTTTTGTGATTTGTGAATACAGAGTTCAACAATTGGGAATATGAACATCGAAAATTATGAACATAGAGTTCTGTAATTGTGAATATAGAGTTCAATTATTATGAATATTTTGAATTTAAAAAATTATGAATATATAGTTCGGTAATTATGAACATAGAACAGTGTGCACCATGCATGGTGCACACGATTGCACATCATAATTTGCCCTTTATTACCCGAAGGTTTATTCTTCCAAAGGCTGGCGGCCCAATTATTACAAAGATCGCGGCAAAAGAAATGGGCTATAGCTAACTGTACGACGTTAACTACTCTTTCATATCCATTCTCCACGTGTCCCATGCATGCCGGAAAGGTCGATTACCAACCCCGGCCCCTATCATACCGCCCTTAACTCCTCCACACCATACCGCACCATTCTGAACACCACACCGCACCGCACAGGGCCGTTCTATGCCATGTAATTTAATGAATTGAAAATAAAACTTTAATGAATTGTAAAATAAAATTTTAATGAATTGGCATTTAAATTTTGGTGAATAATTTTATATTTAAATATGAACGAAAATAAAACTATTAAATTAACTTTTGAATTGTATTTTTTCTTTATTAATTTTTTATGCATTATATTTGGACAAAAAATTTAATTACATTTTTATTTTGTTTTAGATCTTCTAAACATCTATTTTCATCTCGTAACAAAAACAATGAAGGTCCAAATTATAGGTAAAAGATATGGTGTAACACTTTAATATGTTGAAAAAAATAGCATTAAAATGGCATAAAATGACATATTAAGTGGCTATTTTGTGGTACAATTATCAGTGGGGTCCACTTCCGATTTGGGTCGGGTCAAAGTGGATTCGGGTTCTTCGTAGTGAGACGAAGAGATTGATATATTGCACGCTCAAAACGGATAATGGGTGAATGAGATATTGATTCTCAAAGTAGACCCATTGAGTTGGAAAAATGTAAGGGAAAAGTGAGCTTTGTCCCACATTGATTTGGAAAGAGGATTTCACCCCCCTTTTATACAAGAGCTCTTTTGGAGCTTGTAGAATTGTATAGCATAGAGGCTCTCTCGCGGGGGGGGGGGGGGGGGGGGGGGGGTGCAAATCAAATTCCAATTAAACGAGATTGAAAAAGGCTTGATTCAAGCCCGAGCTCGTGTGCGCCGGCACCTGGGGGCACGAATGTCGTCCGAAAATTGGCTGGCCTTGCGGGCTAAGTTATGCCAATTTCTGTACAGTTTTCCAACACTATATGGCCACACCACGAGAGATCACCCGAGATCAAGACTTGATCTCTCGTGCGCTGTCATGAGGTTACACGAGATCAAGACTTGATCTCTCGTGCGCTGTCATGAGGTTACACGAGAGTTCGAACTCTCGTGTGACTTACACGAGAGTTTGAATCTCGTGTTGTGAGCACACACGAGACACTGCTGGAAATTTGCCATTTTCCGACCACCGAAAAGTGGTCGGAAATGACCTTAATTAGGTCGGAAATGCCTGTTCCGACCTCTTTTCCGACCAATTTGAGTATCCGGAAAAATCCCTCTAGCTATTTTCAACCACCCGAGAGAGTGGTCGGAAAGAGTAACCACTTTTCTAAGGCCGTCGGGAAAAATGGCCAAGAGAATAGTTAGGCGGGTCCAGCTTTTTCGACCACTAGTGGTCGAAAATTTCGACCAATTTGGTGGTCGGAAAACTGGACGCGGTCAATAAAAAAAATTCATTTCACTACAGAGGAATCCTCTGTAATGAAATGAATATATATATATATATATATATATATATATAGTTCCAAGCTGGTAAGATATTTGTTGAAAAACACATACAAAATAGACATTTCATATACTTGAAAAGAATCCATCATGAGTATACAGTTAAAAATTTAACACAAGTCAATCTAATCTAAAAAGAAAAGACAAAAACTATGATACATGGATGCAGTTCTTACAGCTTCTTCATCAATGTCTTCTTCATCCTCGGGAACTTCAGCATTTGCCTGCACTGTACTTGGGATCTAAACATGGAAAAAAAATACAGAATGAAAAACTTCTCTTGGAGCCTAAACAAGCATCTGATTCAATTTTCTTATGTTCCTATAATGTTTATAGAAGGAAAAGCAACAGAGAGTGACAAACATAAGCTTTTACTTGTATTTTCTTTTCTTCTTTTTGGGAATCAAAATCTCGAGCTATACATAATGCATGCAAACACCATGTACACAACTACTTAAAATGTCAAGGAAACCAATAAATGGAATTTGGATGTATACTGAACCCATTGGCCTCTGGGATATTGAAGAAGATACACAGTTGCATACTGCAGCCAAAATGAGCCATCATGATGTGAAGCTGGTGCTTAGAATGCCTCAGATGATCACCACAGTGTAAATATGCTATAGAACATTTGTATAGAGAAACAAAAATAGGAATATGCACATTGCTATCAGTACCTTGAGGCTTATCCTCAGTGAATTAATAGATGTTTCTTTCATGCACCTTTCACCTTCATTTTGACAAATCAAAACCTGGCAAATAGTACACACTAATTCAATCTTAGAAAAAACACATGTAAAAGTAACATTGTTCAAGAGGTCGACATAACCCATAGCCACAAAATCAAAAGTCATTATGTTTATAACCTCAGAGGTTTTTAAAAAATATAGTTTCAATGTGACTAATAACCTACAGTATAAGAAAGGGAAAGTTACGAACCTGAATTGGCTCATCAGTACTGTGAGATTTGCAGTCCCAAATGCGCAAAGATTTATCATATCCGGCAGATACAACTACAGTAGCATAATCATTAATCATTAAACTTTACAGCATTCACCTGGCAATAATATTGAAAAGGACAGTGTGAGGTAATAGTGGCGGACAAGCTAACGCAAAAGACAACAAACTAGAGCAAGCAACCCTTTCCATATTTAATTAATTACAAAATAAAAACAGTATTCGTGGAGCAGAAACTTACTTTGGAAGGGAATACATATAAAGATAAAGAAAAAGGGAATGAGTGAGGGGGAGAGTTCTTACACTGAGTCCAACGGGATGATCTGTTTTACTCGCTTGCTTTAGTTTGGCATATTTATCTTTCACGAATCACAAAAAGGTCTATCAGATACTTACCACCAGTCTCTGAACATCACCTGACCGGTATATGATCTGATGAGATAAATAGCTTTATGCATAATAACTTGTAAAGAATTTTGCCACCAGCTTATGATTCTTCTTGAGACCATGGGATATCACGAACAAGTATTTGTATTTGTATTCCTAAGATGGGATGCCACAGATGAACTAATGTAAGTCAACCTCATTCTCGTGATGTATTTGTATTCCTAAGAAAAAGTGGCAAATCATCAATAATGAAAGAAACAGATACTTCTTGAAAGCTTATGTGTTCTGTGGTTGTAAAAAATGATGAACAAACAAGAAGAAATAATCTGTAGCATATTATTTGATGATGATCAGTAAATGTGGAATATGACTGTCCTTCACAAGTTAGTAAAATTTAAATCATGTATCTTCTAAATTTGGCTACTGGATTTGTATCAAAATATTATATACCTCTAATGTTGGGAACGGCCCCAAAGTCCAGCAGAAGTACACAATTCTCATGTCCTTTAGATACTGCTATATGCTGAAGGGTGGAAAATGGAAAAGCAAAAGAAATTGATTGAAATGTGGCACTCAGCCACACAGTTTAAAAAAATTCAGCAGTGGAGTTCACATTCAAGAGCTGTTCTCCCATTGTTGTCAGATTCATTTGGGTGAAGGCCCCATTTCAACAATTGGTGCAACAATAATTCATCTCCTCTAAGCGCCATCATTGGGAGGATCCGGGGAGGGCCATCTGGAACATCTCAAGAATGCCATCACAATAAATAATTCATATATAGAAATGTATATATAGAAATTCATATATAGAAACCTAGAGAAGCTGTGGTAAATTCATTCACCAAAAGGTCATTTTTCAATAAATTTCTTTATTTAACCTTGGTTCCTATTGTTTGAAACAGAACAGTACAACATGTCCTAGAATTGAGATAATACCACAGAAGGAATTATCCAACCATGTTCAATGAATATTTACTAAAAACTAGAAGTTACCAAATAATAGTGCATACTCATTCAGCTGAAAGATTACATAACCTCTCAAAAAATGCCTAAGTATCCCATCCTAATGACAAAAGTAAAAGAAAAATCAGAACCTTACCTTAACATAAGCATCACCCCCAAGCTTATAAACCAGGCCATCAACTTTTGCTGCTGTAAAATGTCTCTTAGCCTGAAGTACCCCACCAGATTCATCTTGGCTGCACCACCAATTAATTACAAATTTAATATATTATCTAATCAGAACATACACAAAACTCTACAAAAATCTAAATCTTTGATTGAATATATGCATTAAAACAAAACATAAATGAGGCATTCACCAGCAGAGGAAATTTACTTAGTTATACTCCTAATTCCACCATTTGATTTCTGTGCCCTATAACCAGAAACATTTAATCAAGAAATGCATAGCAAAACACAACAGAATAAACAAAAAAAATGAAGTAACTCAATTTAAACCGCATCAAGCCAATAAATAAGAAGAGAATAAATGCAATTCCAAGCTCAAACCTTCTGGTAGCGGTGAGGCCAACGCTGCTTCGCTTCCTCTTCCAGATCCGTTTCCGCTCAGGCAGTGAAGCCTTGCTCCACATGAGGTTTCCACCAGCAACATTGTCCAATTCCTCCTTGGCCGCCACAACCTCGTTCAACTCCGAAACCTCAGTAACATCCTCCGCCAGATCGATAACCTTCTTCAGCCTTCCTCTGGTCGATTTCTTAGTGGAATTCGAACCGGTCTCCATAGCAAAGAGGTAGAAATGGGAGTTAGTCGGTGAAGCCTTGCTCCGCATGAGGTTTCCACCAGCAACATCGTCCGATTCCTCCTCGGCCGCCGCAAGCTCGTTCAACTCCGAGTCCTAGGCTTGGAGGCTGTGGTCTCAGGCTGAACCCTTGACTATTAGCGATGAAGGAGAGGAAATGAGGATATGACGAGCATATCTGTTTTTATTTTAAAAATTTCCGTTGAGGTGTCGCGGAAATAGCGTAACACTTGAAAAACTTTTGTGTCCTAAAAGACTAGTATTCGTATGCGGCGGTGGAGCTGAGCTTTTTATATATTATTATTATAAAGTTAATTTTAAAAATTTAAAATGGTTGAAAACATTTCCGACCACATTTAAATAGTGTCGGTATTTCTGACCATTTTCCGACTAGTGCAAGTTTCGGACGAAAAATGAAAAAAATTTAATTTTTTGCGACCACTTTTTTGGGTGGTCGGAAAGGAGGTCAGAAAAATGGTGATTTCCAGCCGTGAGAGTTCAGTCTCGTGTGCACTGAAGCACGAACTTTCGTGCATCCCGAAAGTAACTGAGCTGAAACAGCGCGGACCATTTGTTGGTTCTGGACTGTTACAGGATTAATCTTGTATTAATTCCACCTTTTGAATTTTTGAGTTAAATCTCAATAATGGTGGCTGTTTCAGGTGTTACAAATCGTGGATTAAATGCTAAACTAAATGCTATTGATTCCTCACCTCCTATATAAGAAGGGGTGTAGCAGCAGTGTTTCTACACGGGAGAACAACACACACAACACAGAAAATTCTGTTTTTCCCAGCTCCAAAACTATGCTCCTACACCTTTCTTGCTACTGTGTTTTGCCCGTGCTCTAGTTTGCCGGGTTCGTTCGTTTGGGTGCTCAAACGTCGAACCGTTGTACGTTTTATCCTGGGAAACCTAGGCCACAACGCTCCTAGCACTTTTGGGAGGTGGCAAATAAGGTTTTAAGGAAAGACAGGCACTTTGCCTAACTCGTACGAATCTTTCTTCCTTCTCCTTCTTTCTTGTTTTGGATTATGCTCTAAGCAAAAATCCGTTCTTTCTTGTTGTTTTGGAATTATAATCTAAGGATTATATTTTCTTTTGGTTGATATATATTGATATATCTTTTTCGTAGATATACATGTATATATAACCGTTGGGTCCGTTTTATATATATTTGTGTGTATATATATATTTCGGATAAATATCCAATAATATTTTATATACTTGTGTGTGTATATATAAATATTATTTTTGGGATATTAAATCGATTGTGGTTCATTATCACCAACATAATAAACAAGAGTTGGTGTGGTTTGGTGGGTTTAGCTTTGTTTGTTATGTTAGAGGTCTTGGGTTCTATCCTTCTTGGTGGCATCATTAACCTATATTTTATGCAAAAAATAAGTGTTGGTGTAGCTTGGTGGGTTTAGCTTAGTTTGTTATGTTAGAAGTCTTGGGTTCTATTCTTCCTAAGGGCATCCTTCGCTTATTTTATATATAAGCAACCCAATTATATATAATATACCAGATGTTGCACTTTGCTACATAAGAGTTTGTGTTGGTTAGTTGGTAAAACTTTATTTGTTATGTTTGAGGTCATATGTTCGACTCTTGTTGTTAATGTCATTGTTTTTATTTTATACAACTGTTGTCTTTTATAAAATAATGATGCGCAAAGACAACGATTTTTTATTCAAATACGCTTAAAGACAACATACCAAAGACAACGGTTAAATAAAACCGTTGTCTTAAACAAATAAAGAACGCGCAACGACAACGGTTATATAAAACCGTTGTCGTTGTAGTGTTGTGTATTCAAGTGCTATTAAAGACAACGGTTAAATAAAACCGTTGTCTTTTATAAAATAATATTGCGCAAAGACAACGGTTTTTTATAACTGTTGTCTTTGTAGTCTTGTGTATTCAAATACGCTTAAAGACAACATACCAAATACAACGGTTAAATAAAACCGTTGTCTTAAACAAATAAAGAACGCGCAACGACAACAGTTATAAAAAACCGTTGTCGTTGTAGTGTTGTGTATTCAAGTGCTATTAAAGACAACACATAAATGACAACGGTTAAATAAAACCGTTGTCTTTTAAAAAATAATAATGCGCAAAGACAACGGTTTTAAAAAACCGTTGTCTTTGTAGTGTTGTGTATTCTAGTGCGCTTAAAGAAAACACACCAACGACAACGGTTAAATAAAACCGTTGTCTTTTTTTTTTTTTTTAAAGATCGCACAAAGACAACGGTTTTAAACAACCGTTGTCTTTCTAGTGTTGTGTATTCCAGTGCGCTTAAAGACAACACACCAACGACAACGGTTAAAAAAACCGTTGTCTTTCTAAAAAAAAAAAATACGCACATAGACAACGGTTTTATAAAACCGTTGTCGTTGTGGTGTTGTCTGTTCATAAAATGCACAAAGACAACACACTTATAACAACGGTTAATTAAAAACCGTTGTCTTTGACAAAAGTGTTGCATCAAAGACAACGGTTTTGGACCAAACTGTTGTCTTTTATACAAAAGGCAACACTTTTCTTAAAAACTGTTGTCTTTCTAGTGTTGTCTATGTGCATTTTTCTTGTAGTGTCAGTCCAACCAGACCACTTAATAAGCTTAGTCAACTTCCACCACTTAATTAAGGCCCTAATATATAATATATAATATATATTATTAGAGAAAATCTTACATACCAGACATCCTCGGCTCGTCCGCCGTCGCCACGCGCCAGAGGAGGCCCAGCCGGAGATCGCCGGTGTCAACCATCGTCGCGTTGTCCATCGAAGTAACCAGGAACGAGTCCATCCATTGCATGCAACGGAGGAAGAAGAAAAGTCATGCCGGAGATTCCAGACTTCGTCGCCACCACCGTCCATCATCACCATATCTCAGTGCTTCCTTGTGTGTGTTTCTCCCTGTTTGCCATGGAGAAAACCCAGGTTGAAGGGGGGTGTAGTGGGTATAGCAAAGGAGCCAAAGAGTAAGAGAAAGCAACTCGTCAATCACCATCACCATGCACGCTGCACGCCGGAGATGAAGCTGCGTCGCCATGTGCCTTGCTGGTGTCCGATCGACCGCATGCAACCCAGGTGATGAAGATGATCTATTTCTCTTCACTGATTTCTTGTCTAGATCTATCTCTCTTCACTGATTTCTTGTTCATCCTGTGAATGTTTCTGCCGAGTATAATCCAACGAAGAAGATGAAATCTCGACCTTCAGCACAAACGCCACTGCCGATGTACATCACCACTCGCTGTTCTCGCCGGGGGTCCGATTTATTCATTCTGGATGAGCCTAGTACGTGGACAGCGTTGATGATGGCGGTGGAGTGCGACATCTCAGATAGTAGAGCAAGGAATTAGATGCCAGTGGAGTATGCATGCAATCTTGTTGGTTGCATGTGGCGGTGGAATCGCAACAAGTTAGAGGAGTGGGTTGATTTATTTTTATTTTATTTTAAAATTGCAAATGCAATTTTAAGTTGTAAATTATAGTAATTCTGCACCATAGAATGTATAGGCTAAAGGTGTAGATTATATTATTCACTTAGCTATAGCGTAATGGCTTAGAAAATTGTAATAATTAGAATAGTCAAAATTATTTGTACCAAGTCCGGTTAGGTTGGTATTTCCAGCACCGGCACCCAAAGTCCGGTTAGGTCGGCCTTGCCACCATCGACATTGTTAAGCCCGGGAAAAGTCCAGGCATCAAGCCCTACTACGTAGGCAATTTTGTGTCTCCGGACCAATCAGACGAGGCTCCAGCAACGACTACAATGTCGTTAAGTTCTTTTCCGGTCACCGATCGATGAGGGCAATAGCCCGACGACCGCAATGTCGTAAACTTTTTTCCGGTTAAAGCCGACGCTTTTTTTCCGGTTAAAGCCGGCGAGGGCAATAGCCCGACAGCGAGACCACGCCCTGAGTTCGCCCAGCCGCTAATTCCACTGCCACACGACGTTATACTTAAGTGCGTCCGACAGTGGGGGACTGGACAGGGTGGGCGGCGGTCGTTTGAGGAGCGGCCGGGTCAAATCGTCTGCTCGGATAACATACTGATATATGGGTCGCCTGAGGCTATGCGCCCGGTCAGCTTACTGGTATGTGGGTCGCTTGAGGCCATGCGCCCGGTCGGCCTGGAGCGGCCGTTTCAACCCGTCTGCCTGGATAAGGCGATGCTGGCGTGGGGGTCACCTGGAGGCTCTTAGCCCGGTCGTCCAACACGCTCTTCCACCTCGAGCAGGTCGGCATTGCCACCTCTGACGAGAAGGGAAAGTGAGCCACGCGCCTTGTTAGACCGAGTAGGTTGGCACTGCCGCCTCCGGTGTTTCTAAAGACCAGTTAGGTTGGCCTCGACACCACTGGCACTCTGCGATGCTGGCGTGGGGGTCGCCTGGAGGCTATTAGCCCGGTCGTCCAACGCGCTTTTCCACCTCGAGTAGGTCGGCATTGCCACCTCCGACAAGAAGGGAAAGTGAGCCACGTGCCTTGTTAGACCGAGTAGGTTGGCTCTGTCGCCTCCGGTGTTTCTAAAGACCAGTTAGGTTGGCTTCGCCACCACTGGCACTCTATGACCGGTTAGGTCGGCATTGCCACCACCGGGGCTATGAGTCCGGTTATACCGGTTGATACCGCTTTTTAGCGATGCCGCTTCTCAGGGATGTATATACCGCCTCTTGGTCATGCCGCTTCTTAGCGACGTATATTCCGCATCTTAGCGATGCCGCATTTTAGCGATGTTGTTTCCGCTTTTAGGCGATGCCACGCGATGTATTTATTCCGCCTCTTAGCGATGCCGCATTTTAGCAATGTTGTTTCCGCTTTTAGGTGATGCCGCGCGATGTATTTATTCCGCCTCTTACCGATGCCGCGTTTCAGCAATGTTGTTTCCGCTTTTAGGCGATGCCGCGCGATGTATTTATCCCGCCTCTTAGCGATGCCGCGTTTTAGAGATGTTGTTTCCGCTTTTCGGCGATGCCGCACGATGTATTTATCCCGCCTCTTAGCGATACCGCGTTTTAGCGATGTTGTTTCCGCTTTTAGGCGATGCCGCGCGATGTATTTATCCCGCTTCTTAGCGATGCCGCTTTTTCAGCGATGTATATACCACCTCTGGGCGATGCCGCGCGATGTATTTATTCCGCCTCTTAGCGATGTCGCGTTTTAGCGATGTTGTTTCCACTTTTAGGCGATGCGCGCGATGTATTTATCCCGCTTCTTAGCGATGCCACTTTTTCAGCAATGTATATACTGTCTTTGGGCGATGCCGCGTGATGTATTTACCCCGCTTCTTAGCGATGCCGCTTTTCAGCGATGTGTTTACCGCCTTTTGGCGATGCCGCTCTTCAGCGATGTGTTTACCTTCTTTGTGAGATATTTTACCGCTTTTTTAGCGATGTGTATGTACCGCTTGTTAGAGATATCGTTCCCGATCGTCGACGTAGTAGTTGTAGCCTGGTGCACTCGCACCGCGGATCTGGTCGAGGCATTTCCCGACCGTGATGTCGTTTCCCGTTCGGCAACCCGTCGTATCCACTCCATTGTGCTGACGATTCTTGCACCTGTAGGAGTGGGGGCTACACCGGCCGAGTAGCTCATCTGCGTTTTAGTTTGCCCGAGTAGCGCGTTCGTCGGTCAAAACGGTCGAATCGCGTTCATTTCGCCCGTGTAACGTTTCGCCCGGCTAAATCCAATCTCTCGATCGTAAGCAAATCCAACCCCGTAGTTGGTTAGATAGATCTCCAGATCTCGGTCGTGCCCGACAATCCAATCGTTGAACCGGTTGAGCTCGACGTTTCGCAAGTTGCGTTGCAAGTCCGACCACCGGGTCTGGCACTCCCTTTCGGTCCACTAGACTGTGGTTAGAGTTGTACTCTTTTTCCCTTTGCTAAAGTTTTTCCCACTGGGTTTTTTGATTAGCCTAAGATTTTTTAACCAGGCAACCGGCATATGTCACGGACCGTGTAACTAGTTTTTCCAGCCCGAACCCTTCCTCGTTAGCTCGTCGTCATGGCACGGGCTGTGGGAGCTTTATGATAAGTTATATACCCCGGGTCCGTGCCATCGCTTACAGTCGGGTTTGGGTCTCGCGGTTCGGGTCTTGGCCTACGGGTCGGGGTCAAAGGTGACGGGTCAAACCCGAGATGCGTCAAACCCGCCACCTCGGTGGCCCTATAAAAGGGCTTCTAGTCCTCTAAGTGTGGGGATCTTTTCCCATTTGGAGCCATGAGCTCTCTCTCTCTCTCTCTCTCTCTCTCTCTCTCTCTCTCTCTCTCTCTCTCTCTCTCTCTCTCTCTCGGCTCCCTCTCCCTTCTCTGTATAATATAGACAAACATACAAATATTCATATGAATAAAAAGACCACTTTCATCTATTTCTTGTGTTCTTCCTTTATGGATTCATATACATATATATTCATTTTGTACATACAACCGACATCCGGGTGAATTAGTACTATCAATAGTTATGAAGTTATGGATGTGTATTAATGCAATTTTGGATTTATAGTTATGAAATTATGGATGTGTAGTTATGTAATTCTGGATGTATAGTTATGAAATTATGGATGTGATGAAATTATGGATGTGTAGTTATGAAATTATGGATGTGTAGTTATGCAATTCTGATTTTTTTTTTTTAAAGTTAGACGTCAAAACGACGTCGTTTTTACATCCGGATTCACCATGCATGGTGCATACGGATGCACAGCATAACGCTTCGGTTTACACAGTAGTGCACATTGCAAAATAGCACATGGTCTTCTTAGCACGGTTTAAAGCTCATTTCAACTGAGTGTGTTTATTCCGTGCAAGCTCTCGAATAGTGACTACGAGTTTTCATTATCATCAAACAAAAAGTATTTGATTCTAATTTCAGTTATGATATTTTTGATTTGAAAAGGAAAATAATTTTTTTTAAACAGAAAAAGAAAATACTTGGTAAATAAAATAGTTATAGTCCATGCATGCACCAAAGTTCCTAATTTTCTATACGAAAAGATCTAGATTTTATCTGAATTTTTAGTTCAAGATATTTTTTTGTATAGTAGTAAAATCATCTAATACAATGGAGTAGTTAATATGTGACATAATCCACTTTTTGTAAATATATGATGACACGATTAGACATTATTGGCATCCTACTTAGTGGGACCTTTGAATGGACATAACTACCTAGATTAAAGCCTTAGGGCTTTAATTGGTTCGCTGGAAAATATTTGAAGGGAATTGAAATGGAATTGAAATTTCAAGGAAAATAAATTTCAAGAAAATAAATTTCATTGTTTGGTTTGTGGAAAAGAAATTATTGGGAATATTAATTCCATTGAATTGTTTGGTTGAGTTTGAAATGGTAAGGAATAATGAGTATAAGGACCAATATAATCGTACACAACAATAATAATATAATAATAATAGGAGTAATTAATAAAGAATTGTGAGGGTAAAATTGTCATATTAGTTTTCCATGAAAAACAAAATACCTAGTATGAGCTAGGAATTTGTTTTCCTCATTCTCAAGGAAAACTTTTTCCAATGACAAATGTTTTCCATCCAACCAAACAACATAAAACATCATTTTCCTTCACTTTCAGGAAAACATTTTCTATGGAAAATGTTTTCCATCCAACCAAACACCCCCTAAAGCTTGAAACTTGATTTATTAAAAAAAAAAAAAAGTTTTAGCTTAGCTCTAGTTCAATGGAGCTTTAATTTTTAAAATTTGAGATTGACATGACACTAGACATGCAATATATTTGCAACATGATACGAAATTTGCACGAAAATAAGGAGTTAGTGTTTAGTTTTAATTAATGCGTCTCAGGTCATTAATGGTTTGACCTGATAAAATTTGTGTTTTAACAAGGCAACCCATTAGACACCTGTTTAACCTGTTAATACAAGTATTAGGAGAAAATTTCAATTTTACTCAACTGACTGTTGGTGTTGTGTTAATTGCAACACTTGACTTTCAAAAATATTAATTTAGTACCTTGACTATGCAATTTCTATCAATTTTGGTCACTCCGGCCAACTTGTCGGCTAAATCTCACCAGAAAAATTTAATTAGCCAATTAATCTTTAATTTCAGGGGTAATTTCGTGTTTCTACCATAGCCATTTAATCCGATCGTCTTCTCTGGACGATTCATCGCCGCATCTCCGCCGCCGCCGCCTTCCTCATCGACCTGCTCCTCTCCGAAGGAATGGAACCCACTGGGAACAACTTTTGAATGGCAGGGAGTAGATGATCACTAGCAAAGCAAGATCCAGCAAGAGATTTAGTAATTTGTTAACGCCCATAAAACACGGACAGAGAATTCC